TGTTGTCAAATATGGTAGCTGCTGGCTATAATGCACACGAAATATAGCTAAGCTAGTGTGACTAAAGAAACTAAATTTTAAGAGATTTTTATTTAATTTTAACTAATTTAAATTTAAATAGTCACATGTGGCTTACAGACCCAGCATCCAACAGCACAGAGCCAGACGCTAGGAAAGCTGGCTGGTAACAGCATTCTCCTGGCTAAGAAAAGGCTCAGAGGAGCCTAATGTTTTTTGCCTTTTCCCCAGGAATTAAGGGAGGGGAAAAAAAAACTAATTAACTCCCCCTTTTTAACTGCTTTAGTAATTAAAAAGCACTTTCTAATCATTTCTGTCTCAACTGAATGTGGGTCTCTTAATAATACGATTTAGAATGTGTAAAATGCAGGCGTGGTGAAACTGCTTTTATCTTACTGTAAACAATGAAAACTTAGAGTTGAAATAACCATTTTGAATTCTTAAAGTTCTCCAAGGTGAAATATAAACTTTGGACCAAACACAATAAAAGGCTGTTTAAATTGCTTAAAGATTTTCACTATCTTTTTATCTTTTTTTTTTTTTTGGTTCTCTTCTCAAGTCACAGTAAGGCCTCTGATACGATTATGCTTTCAGACTTTGGAGGAAAAAACAACCTGTAAACAAAATCCTCAAATGCTCAGAGTAAGAAAGATTCATTCCAACAGCAACCGTATAGTTTGGGGGGGGTGGGGTAGGTCGAGCTGCTCTTTACAACCATAAGTTTTGAACATCTAGAACGTGCTCAAAAAGCTTTAGCCTGGCTAAAGCTCACCTGTATTCCTAAAAATGGCCAACACGAGCATCCTTGATAAACGCTGGTTGTAAACAAATGCCTTATGTGTTAGACACTATAGCTTTAAATAGGAGTTCGTCCTAAAGACATGTCATCTAGGGACACAAGCTCCCTGTACGTTACACACCAAGGCTACAGCAGAAACAAACTACGTTGACTATCAACTGGTGTTTTTTCTGAAGTTCCTAAAGATTATGTTTAGTGCCCTTGTATCGTTTAAACAACATAAAATAGCATTGGCTTTAATGAGGGAAGTTTCTCAAATCCCAATAGGAGGCCATTCGAGTTCTAGGGTTAAAAAAATGAACTATGTACATGGTTTAATAGGCTACAGAGACTACTGCTGTAAACTCAAAATAGATCATCAAGCAAATCCCACACCTTTTCTAATAAATAATTTCAAAGCTGAATGTGTGGTTTGATGACAGTAAAACCAGTGAATGAACTGATGCCACCCTGTAATAGCCAGTCACCTGTGTGTGTCTGCAGGAGTCTGTACCTGGCTCCACCCTTTCAACCATTTACTAACCATTTGCAAAAGCTCACAGCAACATGTAAAAAGGCAGTCAGCCTGGGTCCAGACTGATGTAACACAATGAAATTTAAATGTAAGGTCCTGCATTAAAGGTTCAAAGAGCCAGTCCCACCAGCACCAGCCAAAACGTCAAGGATCTTAGCAATTTTTGAAAAAAAAAAAAAAAAAAAAGAGGACACAGGGAATATAGATGCAGGTTCAATGCAGCCTGACAGCAATAAGGCTGCCCAGATAGCTAATTCAATCTTACGCTGCACTTCCAAAATGCAAACTACTAAGACAGTTACCACTCTCTACTAAAACTAGTACTGCAGGTGTCTGGGGTGAAGCGTTTTAGCAGGGGCAGTGCCACATTCAGAGTGTCTGAAGGAGCCCCCTTTGGTGAGTCAGAAGACTGTCACACTCTTGGAAGGAGAAGGAGAGCAGCAGAGGGGTAGGAAGCTGCTGTCTCCAAAGGTCTGAAGGGCTGACATGTTGATGAGGAAGAGACTTATTTTGTGTGGTTTCAGGGAACAGAAAGAGAATCAAAAGAGGCCTATTTCAGTTCAACACCAGGAATAACATGTCAAAGATCAGGACTGTTCATAATGGGACTCTCCCATCTAGAAGGGCAGTGAGCACCCCACTGCCAAAGGCCAGACCTAATGGCCCAAGCAGGTTTCCACCACCTGACCAAGGCAGATTAGGTGACTCCCTCTTCCCCCTCCCCCACACTGAACAGAAAGCTTTCGCAGGCAAGGCTGCGAAACTTCCCTAACTCCAGCCCCTGCCCATTCTCTCACTGGAGGCATTCTATCAGAATGAAGGTTACTAGGTAAAGTTACTACGGCGTTACTGCTCTAATTTATAATATAAGAAAACAATCTGCAAATTTCAGTGCTTTAACGAAAGTCAGGGACAGTAACGCTACTACTAAAACAAGCTCTGACAGCTGGGCAGCTAATTCACTGGGATTCCACAAACGCTCTCTGACACAACACAGATTCTGTAGTTTCTATGCAGCCTCCTTACATCATTTTCCTAAATAATATTAATTTCAATCGGTCAATAGACTCCAAACTCAAACTGACTGAGCTGAAAGAAACTCATTTTCTGAAAACTTTCTGTAATTAAGTCTTTTATCTCATTTCAGAAAGACTGCAAGAAAGAAGCCTGTGCAGGAGATTCCTAAGCTGCCCCCGCTAATACTCAGAGAACTGACCCTAATTCCTCTACCATTATAAGAACTGAGAGGTACGGTATGGAGGGGGAAAGCTGGACTTAGCTTTATCTGCAGATATCCAGTCTTCCCCACTATTTCCATGCTTCCAGAAGCCCATGGCTATGTGACACTGCAGTGTTCAAACAGATGCCTAACACGGTTTGGGTCCCCTTCTAATTCTACCCTAGACGTAAGATTACAAACTCCAGAAGCTCATTACCTAACTATTTCAACTCTAAAACGACAGCACTGCCATCAAAAGTACTCTCAGAACCTGCTCTGAAGAGCACTCACTTCCTGGAAATACTTTACGGAGGAAGCGACCTGCCCACAATCCAAGCGATGCTGGGGGCACGCCTAACTATCCACATCCCTGCTAGCTTCCCGACCAGTAGGATATTAGTCTGAAACAGACAATGGTATTTCCGTCAAAGTCACCCTTTCAGCCTGAACAACACATTTCACACCATCTGCTCTGAAGGACAGGACTTACCTTTCTGAACGTGGATGATGTCAGGGAAGTTGGCCAGGTGCCCCTGATACAGTGCTAAAAGGTCCATGACTGGGTCCAGGTCCTGCCTGGGCTGCTCGGCGAAGAGCTCGCCGATGGCGTCATAGGCATCTCCGGTGAAGGCGATGGCCTGGTTCAGGCCAGCCGAGAAGGCCTGCTGGTCCAGCTCAAAGGCCTGGCTGAGGCCACGGAAGGACTGGCCCACCTTCTGATACTCCTTCTTGAAGCCCGTAACCTGCTTGCGCGCGAACTCGTTGGCAGTGTGGTTGAGCTGCAGCGCACTGTCGTCCATCTTCTTGGTGAAGCACTTGAAGCCGTCGATCTTGCTCTCCACTTCCTGCAGGTCAAGGGCGGCAGCGGGGGGCGTGCTCAGGGTCAGGAAGAAGTTGGCGCCAACCATCTCATCCTTCTCGGCCTTCCTCTTACCCTGTTTCCAGGCCTTCTCGTCCGTGCTGCTGGGGCACGTCAGGAAGTGCTGGAAGACGTCGCACTGCGCCAGCACAGGGTGGCTGGCCATGTGGTTCATCCACCAGATCAGGCCTTTTCTGCGCTTGGAGATGAAGTCCTCCTCGAAGCGGCCCGTGGCCTGCTTCTCGGGCAGGTGGGGTACCGAGATGACCGGGAACTTCTCAGCCAGGCGCGCGTACAACCAGTCGAAGTGTTTATAGCGCCGGTGCACCGGTACCTGCGTGTGCGTGGGCACCAGCTTGTAGGAGATGTAGCTCTTCATGCCCTTGAACTTGGTCTGCTTGGTGGGGTCGTCAATGGTGCACTGGAAAGGGTAGGGGTTCTCCTGCCACTCAGGGCCATAGGGCCCCAGCACCACACACAGCTTATCTCCATCCTTCACGAAGCCCGATGCTTCGCCGAGCACGAAGGCCTCTCCGCCCGATTTGACGAAGGTGGAAAAGCGGTTGAGGTTACGGCTCACGGTGGCCGAGCTCTTGGCCCCAGACGGGTGGTGCTGCGGAGGCACTGAGCCGCCACGGGAGCCTAGCGACAGGTCGGAGCGTGTGGACAGGCGGTAGCGGCCCGCCGCGCCGACGCCCCCAGACGACGAGCCGTCGAGGTCCGGGTACGTGCCGCTGCCCAGCGCACCCGGCTCGTCAGCCACCGTGGAGCTGTCGTCCCACTCGTCGTCCCAGTCATCGTCGCTGCCCTGGCTGGCCTGGTAGCCGCCGCCGTAGAGCTGCTGCGGCGACGGCTGCAGGGCGCCCCCGCC